AGAGAGAGAGAGAGAGAGAAAGAGAGAGAGGGAGGGAGAGAGGGAGGGAAGGAGAGGGAGGGAGGGAGAGAGAGGGAGAGGGAGAGGGAGAGGGAGACAGAGAGAGGGAGACAGAGGGAGAGAGAGAAACATATGATCACCTCAATGCACAAATAGCTCAGATCCAAGCTTCCTACTGAGAACTGTGAGGCCAGTGGAAGCCTCATCTCCTTTCTGCTTACCAACCCCCGTCATCGCCTCTTTAGAATTACTTTTCTTCTATTTCTGAGATTCCTCATCATTCAAAAGAAAGAAAGGCCCTTTGGTCTTTTAAGGGTACCTTTTCATGAAGCTTGTGTGTGTGTCTGCTTCTCTGTGTAGTTCTGGGGAGGCGGCAGGGGTGCGGGGGGGGCGGGAAGAAGGGTGAAGGGGTTTCGCAGTGCTCCCCAGGTAGGAGGTGGCATGGGTTGGAGACAGGGAGGGGCATTTCCAGCTGTCACAGGAGCCTGGTCCAAGGACATTCGTTCTCTGGCCTTCAACGCTATGAATAGAAAAGTTAGGAAGAGGAGAATAAGGTTATAGGTGGGGAAGATTCATTTTAGGAAAGGCAGTGCTATCTTTGATGGAATCAATTAGGCCCTGGCTTCTCCCTCACAAATCACAATCTTTGATCTCCGAGGTGGTGGGTAGAGAAGCACCTGGGTGCAGGCTTGGGCGCCGGCACCCTGTCAGAGGCATTAATTGCTTCAAACTTATTCAAAACTCATGAATTATAGCTGAGGAAGTGGGGGTATGTCCGCAGGGCGCTGAGGAGACACAGGATGGGCTGGGGTCAGCACACATCCCTTAGGGGATTTGGGGCTGTCAAAACAGGCTCGGCAGCACAGCCCCCACCCCGTCCTCTCTGAACTTGGACAAGGCTCGCCTCAGTTCCCTTATGTATTCTCCCCTGAGCCCCTCACAGGGCCCACATGAGAAACAGACGAGGAACGTTCAGCTGCCATGGTGTTCGGATGGTGGTGGAAGGGAACCATTTTCCTCCAGTGAGTGTGCCCGCCTCCTGTGAGAGCTCATGAGGAGACCCGCCCTTTTCTCTCCTGCCTTTCAGCCCCTTCTCAAGGCCCAGGAGGCTGCCAAGAGAAAGGACAGAATTGACTACTGGAGGAGAAACCTGGATTGCAGTCAGACCTTGTGACTCATGCTGAAAGCCCACCGTATCTATTCCCCCAGGAATACCTCACCATTCCCAGTTGGCTGGGGACTCCAAGTTCATGCTGAAGGTCATGGCTCCAACTCTTTACCTCCTGGTAAAGAGTTTTCAGTAGTGGCTTCAGAATTTCTAGCTAGAAGTGGCATAGGGGCTACAATCTATTTGGGGAGTTGGGGTGCAGCTAGAAGAACTGGAAGCCATGTTAGTGAAACAAACGTCCTGTCCAGAAGGAAAATAAATGGGTTTGGAAAGCTGCTGACACATTTCTCATCCTGGTCATCGACGGCGCGGGCCTGGGTCTACAGGTGGTTAGCAGGAGCAGGTACATCACTGGGGAGACTGAGGCAGGCCTGACGGCAGAAGCTAGAGGAGGACCCGGAACTTCTCATCTCTGTGTGAACAGGGGCTTCTCTCACGCTGCACGTGTCAGCGTTTCAGTACCACTCAGTACATTCTTAAAATAAAGGCCTCCAAAATTCCAACATCAGAGGCAACATAGTTGGCTTACAATTGGTAATGCTCCGTGAATTTTATGTCTATAAAATCAATCTCTGAAACACATTTGGCTCATGAAGCAGGTCACACTCGTCCCCCCGGTTACTCATCCGTAAGATGGATGTGTCGCCAAAACACAGCAGTGTCTCTTGAATCAAGTATTTGCAGAATAAAAATGCATCCACTGAAATACACAACACATGGTCTGACTCTATTGTAATACATCACTAGTGAAATCAAGTAATATTTATTAATAGTTACTACTCTTATGAAAAGATTTGTTGAATTCCTCTTATACCCTGGGCATTGATCTAAGCATTTTTATGTGCAAGTTCTCACTTAATTTGAGTCACAACCCTATAAGGAGAGCAGCAATATGCCCATTTAACAGATAAAACCCAGGGCGATTTGGTGAAATTTCTGTGGTCACACACATGGTGAGTAATAGAGCTGGGATTCAAGTTCAGGTTTGTGTGTGCCAGGCTCTCCCTCCTAACCACAGTAATTGCCTTTTGCTTTTGCTGAGCACCTAATTTATATAGGAAGCCATGGAGTGGAATGGTGTAACACAAACTTTGGGATCAGGCTTTGTGCCTGGGTTTCAATTCTGCTTTCTTCATTTCCATGGGCCTGTTTCTTCATCTGCAAAACAGGGACACTAATAGTATCTATTTCATAGCATTAAGAATTAAATGAGATATTTAATTCTCATTTGGTTTAGGACTCAGTAACTGTTAGCTTTTCCTTTAATTTCCAGGCATCGTGCCCGGCTTTGCGGGATGAAAAGAAATCCGAGCGATGGGTCTTTGGACTCGAGTCCTCACTGACTCAAAGCCCAGAGAGGGAGAGGAAACACACTACCTTCTTCACTCAGGCCTTTTTCCTCCAAAAAGTCCTTTTGATTTATTACCAAGAAGCCATCTCCTGACCACAAAGGCAGAATTTCAATAATTCTCACCCAGTTCCTGACTAAAGATGCCCAAAGAGACTTCTAAGCCAACGATTCTCAAAGGAGAATTGAATTCACATGCTTTGAAGAGAGGGGCTTGATGGTGGGGCTCGTTTGTTGTTTTAAATATACATGGCAGAGTCATCCCACACGGACGGCATGTGACGGGCCCTAGGGATGACTGATGGCTTGTGAGTGGCTGGGTGTCTACACAATTTGGCTTCACATCAGTTCCTGCCATCTTGGAGTCCAAAGTCTCTCCAGGCAGTCATTTCCTCTAAGAGATGTGATGACGCCAAATAGAAAATCAGCAGCCCAAAGAGGACCTTATAAGTTCAAGTCATTGTACCCATTCCTCTGAGAGAGGAGAGAGGTGCTTGATGATGAAAATAGAGCTGAACCCTAACTTGGAGCTGCTGAGTCTAAACTGGAAGGGGCCGTCAAGTGGACGGATACCCACTGATCTGTGTATGAAGCTATGCTCTGTTAGGGACGTGGAAGTCTGAAGCCACATCTGTGTTACAGCATCATTCACTCCCATGCCACCGGCCACCTGCTCCTTCTTCGGAGCAGGATTGTTTTCTGTCAGCTTTGAAGGAACAAATGGTCGATAGAACAGGGGTCGGCAAACTTTTGAGACGGGAAGAGCTGCCAGGGGTCAGCAAACTGAGGCTCGCGAGCCACATATAGCTCTTTGGGTCCGTACATGTGGCTCTGAAGTAAAATTGAAAATGAAAATAAAACTATCATAGATTCATATATAAAAATTTTAAAGAATATTATTCACATAATGGTGATTATGTAAAAATATATGTATGGCTCTCGAAAAAATTTTAAATTGTTGTGAGGGACAGGATTGGCTCTTCCAGGGTTCGGCAAACTTTTGAGATGGAACGTACCCAAAGAGCCACACGTGGCTCGCTAGCCGCAGTTTGCCGACCCCTCGTCTAGAAAATTGAACTGGAAAAAGCCCCAGGCAGACATTCTCCTTCCCGGGCTCCCATGGTAGTTATTTATTAAGGGCCTATGATGGACTAGAGCCTGTGCGTTTGTTATGTCATTCGTCCCCCCCACAACCCTCGGAGGTGGATATGATACCTTCATTTCACAGCTAAGGAGATTTAGGTTAAAAAAAAATGCTTAGTAGCTGCTCAAGGTCACGTACCTGCTAAGTGACAGATTTGAATCACTGAGCTGCTCACCACAGAGTCCCCTTCTCTCATGCCAGAGATGCTGACTTCCTTGGCTGGGGCTGGGGCCCTTGCAGTGTCTGTGTTTCAAGCTTCCCTGATGACTCTACTGCGTTGCCTGGGCTGGGAACCACCCTACTATATCAGCCTTCTTATAAATCAGGGTTTTTTATTCCATCTTGTATCACAGATTCCTTTGAGGCTGGGGTGGGGGAAGTTATGGGTCGTCTCTACAAGAAAATAAATATGGTTATACACAAACATTGCATACAATTTCAGGTAATTATGGACGTTTTGAAGTTTTATGTGGACCCCCCACCCCCTTACCCCTTAAGGATCATGAACTCAAATTAAGCCTGAATCTATAAATCCTTGGCTCTAAATAGTTGGCCACACATGGGAGTTGGCTGGCAACCTTTAAACAATTCAGGTTTCTGGGCCCCACCCCAGATCGACTGATTTAGGATCACCAGATCTGTCGTCCTGTAATATGTTCCTGGATGATTCTTATACATCCACCCAGAAAACAGCCTTTGCACTGGTTTTGGGGAACCACCACCGTAAATGATGCCCTTCAATGGATCCGAATTCATTTCTGTCACTTCTACCTATGTAATGTTAGGTAAACTACGTAACTTCCCAAGCCTTCTATTTCCTCTTTTGTAAAACGGGGATATCAATCGTCCCCACCTCATAGGGTTGATGTGAAGTTACATAAAACACTCCATGGGCGGGTTTAACACCAGTGTCTGGCACATAAACATCTGATGAATGTTTATCACTAATTATATATTATTTCATCATCTCGGTAATTAATCTCTGTAAGTGGTCTCTTGGTGATAGAACTGGGAACAGAATCGAATTTCTAGCAGACTGTGAACAAAAATACATGAAAGAAAGGAAAAAAATTCAAAGTTTATTAAACATTAAGAATAACAGACAAAGGTTTGCACTTAACAGCATCAACACCACCAATATCATGGTATACATTGAAACTGACCCCATGTGAGCTTGTACTTGTTTAACAGAAGCAATCTCTGTGGTGTTGCCAAAAGGATAACAGTAGGTTATTGTTA